CTCTCCAGAGCCCCTAAAGCTCCTCTCCACGGCTCAGCCAGACACTAGGTGCATCAAAGCCTCCGACCTGCTCAGCCCCAGGACCCCTTCACACACACTACACTGATGTCCCCAGTTAGCTCGGCACCCCCAGCCCCGCTCTGCCACCTCAAACTCCGACTCTTCTCAACCCCAGCCTCAGTCTCTCTACCTCTGAAACCTACCAAGTCACTTTCCTTTCTCCATCCACTCCCAAATTCCTCCTCATACTTTTCTAGACCATCTCCCAAAGCCCCCGGCCTTTAGCCTGCTGCCTGCATCTTCCCTGTGTCACCCTGAAGCCGAGCAGCTTCCCCATGCTCTGGGAGCTGATCTTTTCCCAAGAACTCCCCTCCCCAACTCCATTCCACCCCCAATCTGCTTCCTCCCTCTGCAGATTGACCCTCCTCCCTCCTTGTTCTCAGGCCCCCTGCTCTGTTTCTCTAGCTCCTCAACTTTTCTCTTTCCCCACTCCCACTCCTCCCAAGGAAACACGCCCTAAACTGCCACCGAATGAAGCCTGCTCTCTTTAGCGTCCTGTGTGAAATCAAGGAGAAAACCGGTATGTGGGCCCTCCTCTGGTTGCTCAACTCTGGGGACACAAATCTGTTCATTATAGGGCTAGAGTGTGACAGCTTGGGGGCCTGAGGAAAGTGAGGAGTCAGGGGCACTGGGGAAGGAACCAAAGCCTGGGAACTTGGCTCTCCAGGAAGCACCAGGAGGACTGAGCACTGGGTATGGGGTCCCTGGGTCCTTAAGTCCACTCGCCTGCATGCTAGGCCTCAGCATTCGGAGCTCCCAGGAGGAGGAGCCGGTGGACCCACAGCTGATGCGCTTGGACAACATGCTTCTGGCAGAGGGTGTGGCTGGGCCCGAGAAAGGGGGCGGCTCAGCAGCAGCAGCTGCAGCCGCTGCAGCCTCTGGGGGCGGCGTGTCCCCTGACAACTCCATCGAACACTCGGACTATCGCAGCAAACTTGCCCAGATCCGTCACATATACCACTCGGAGCTGGAGAAGTATGAGCAGGTAAGGAGAGGAGGGTGGAGGGAAGGGCTCTTGCAGGGGAATCCCATGGCCAAAGGGCTCCTTCTCAGCAGCCCACTGGCCCCCACTACAGGCATGTAATGAGTTCACGACCCATGTCATGAACCTGCTGAGGGAGCAGAGCCGCACCAGGCCTGTGGCCCCCAAAGAGATGGAACGCATGGTGAGCATCATCCATCGAAAGTTCAGCGCCATCCAGATGCAGCTCAAGCAGAGCACCTGCGAGGCTGTCATGATCCTGCGTTCCCGTTTCCTGGATGCCAGGTGGGCCCAGGGACCCGAGCTGGCCCCCAGCACTGGGCTCCTTCCCATTCCTCTCCAAGACCCTGAGCTGCCATGCTGCACAACATGGCACTCCATGACACTGGTGACTCTGGGGTCATGCCATGTGACAGCCCTGGTGACTCTGGGGTCATGCCATGTGACAGCCCTGCCAGGACACCAACACCCTCCTCACCGCTCTTCTCCCTTCTCTGTAGACGAAAGCGCCGTAACTTCAGCAAACAGGCCACTGAGGTCCTCAATGAGTATTTCTACTCCCACCTGAGTAACCCATATCCTAGTGAGGAGGCCAAGGAGGAGCTTGCCAAGAAGTGTGGCATCACCGTGTCTCAGGTATTATGGAGGTTCTGGGAGGAGTTGTCAGGCAAAATGCGCGCATCTCAGCTAGGTGCAGTGGTGTGTTCCTGTAATCCCAGCTACTAGGGAAGCTGAAGTGGGAGGATCACTTGAGTTGGAGACCAGCCTGGGCAACAGCATAGTGAGACCAGAAGAAAAAAAAATGCTGTCACTCACATCTTATTCAGCGAAGGGCTTCGGAGGCAAATGTTTCTACCTGACCCTCCTTTCTGCCCCACAGGTCTCCAACTGGTTTGGCAACAAGAGGATTCGCTATAAGAAAAACATCGGAAAGTTCCAAGAGGAGGCAAACATCTATGCTGTCAAGACCGCCGTGTCAGTCACCCAGGGGGGCCACAGCCGCACCAGCTCCCCGACACCCCCTTCCTCTGCAGGTGGATCCCCCTGTCACCCTGGCTGACTGTTTTGCACACTTCCTGCTTTTGTTCCCACTTCCTACCTAGGCAAGATCATAGCAGAGAGGGGGCCTTTTGGGGTGACAGGGACCAAGCTGAGATAGGCTGGAGATGTCAGGGGACAGAGGCCACTCCAGTGAACTTAGTTCTGCCTTTCTTCCCACGGGTGGCCATGGGAGGCTAAGGAACAGCCTGCTCTTTCTGCGTGTTGGAATGTTGTTTTGTGGATAATTGGAGTATAGTAGCACATCCCCACAAGAGCTGAGAGTTGTGGTTCATCCCCTTTCTACCATCACGGGCTCTATTACACTCTTCCCTCTCTGCCCCCCACAAGGCTCTGGCGGCTCTTTCAATCTCTCAGGATCTGGAGACATGTTTCTGGGGATGCCTGGGCTCAACGGAGATTCCTATTCTGCTTCCCAGGTCAGATGCCCATCTCCTCTCCAGTAGGGCTTTCCCCAACTCCATTTCCCCTACTTGAGGATACAAGACCTCTTTCCTCTGAGGCTTCTCTTCACTGTCACACCTTCCTCCGCTGCCTGCAGGTGGAATCACTCCGACACTCGATGGGGCCAGGGAGCTATGGGGAGAACCTCGGGGGAGGCCAGATGTACAGCCCACGGGAAATGAGGGTGAGTGGATCCTGAAGCCCCTCTCCGTCCAGTTCTCGCAGGACAGAGGGGCATTTTCCCTAGTAGTGTTGTGCCCACACAGGATTCCCGGGGCCTTGTCTGTTTTCTATACTCTGTCTTTCTCTTCTTCCAGGCAAATGGCAGCTGGCAGGAGGCTGTGACCCCCTCTTCAGTGACATCCCCAACGGAGGGACCAGGGAGTGTTCACTCTGACACCTCCAACTGATCTTGCCCCTCAGGGTCACAGGGGTGGGGGCTCTCACAAGGCGACTCTTGAAGAGGACACAGGCTTCCAGAGGACAAACCCCAAATACAGGAGAAGCACAAGACAGAGAAGGGCCAATGGGGTCATCCCCTCCCTAACTAGACTCTCTGTGCTGGGGGTGCTAATTACATGGCAGGAAGAATGGGGCCTCTAAGGGGAGTGTGGGGTCTGTCTCCCCTTTTTCCGTCTTTTTCCTCTCTCGCTTTCTTTCTTACACAGAAACATACATATACCCAGAAACCTATCTCTCAGACCCCTTTTTCTCCTCTGTCTTCCTCTCTCCCTCTCCCACACCTCACACACATACTCCCACTTGCAACTATTCTGTTTCTCTCTCTGGGCTCCCCCACTTTCCCTTCCCCACCCCACTTATATGTTCTGGAATCTGTGGAGACGCCAGCCCTGCCCAACCAGAGATGCCAAAAATGGGGACATGACTTCTGGACAGAGGACATGGGCCACGCCCCCATGCATCCCCACCCCCGCCCCTCCAGACGGCTTACTTACCTCATACGCAGCTCATCTTAAACCAATAGAATCGCTCGGTGGACGAGAGTGTCTGACTCAGATATCTACCTCGGAGGGAGTTTCTGCTACTTTAGGGAATTATTGACTGGGCTTTGGGGTTGAACTTTTTTTTTTTTTTTTAAAGAAAAAGAAACCCTGGGATCCATCTGTTTTTTTTGTTGTTGTTTTTGGTGGTGGTGGTGGTTCTTAATTTTTAATTTAGTTTGGGGAAGTAGCTTTTTTTTATAAATATGTTGATTTCTTGTCTTTTTTTTTTTTTTAATTTCTTAACTTTCCCATTTTAGGGGTGATAGCCAAAGGGGTCCTGGTAAGAGAAAGGGGGGACAAACAGAACTGGTGAAGAGGCCCCCCTGGCTCCAGGCCTGTCCATCAGGAAGTAAATTTTACAGGGCACCAAGCTTTGCCCCCTAAAATCACTTACATGTTCTTTGCTCATGCAGGCAGTTTCTGCCGCATTTGGTGTGGAGGCAGTGAAGGGCTTGCCCTGCTGGCCTCTCATCCCCCTTCTTCCCACAAACCTTGGGCAGGGCTGGACTCAGTAATTTTGAGGAAATCGAAGATGCCATCTTCCCCTGTGAGTGACATGTCTTTAATTTTTTAAAAAACTACTATTTGAAAATTGGAGGGGGAAGAATGGGAAGGGAGTTATTGCCAAATATGTTAAATATGGGTTGGGGTGCTTGTATATGTATCTTCCTCAATTTCCCCAGAAATGAGGTATCTTTTTGTCACACCAAAATCAAGTGGTAGGGAGAGGGAGGAGGTTGCAAAAAGCCAGGTGTGGGGGAAAAGTAAAATCAACACTGTCCCATCCTCAGCCCTAAACCCTACCATCTGATCCCCTCAGACATTCTCAGGATTTTGCAAGACTGTCAGAGTGGGGAACCCCTCCCATTAAAGATCCGGGCAGTACTGGGGACAGGTTGGAAGTGTGATGGGTGGGGGGGGGGGGAGGCATGGGCTGGGGGCAGTTCTCTCCTCACTTGTAAACTTGTGTAGTTTCACAGAAAAAAAACAAAATGCAGTTTTAAATAAAGAAGTTTCTTTTTTTCCTGGGTTTAGTTGAGAATTTTTTTCAAAAAACATGAGAAACCCCAGAAAAAAAAAAAATATATTTTCTTTCACGAAGCTCCAAACAGGTTTCTCTCCTGTCCCCCAGCCTTGCCTTCACGATGCAGTCCCAATTGCACCCTTGTAAACAACAGTCTGGCCTGAACCCTATTGATGCAACCTTGCCCAGTCAACATGGGGCTCCAGTGGGTCACCAGGCAGCCCTGATGGACTGATGGAATAAATAGGATAGGGGGCTCTGAGGGAATGAGACCCTAGAGGGTACACTCCCCATCCCCCAGGGAAGTGACTGTGCCCAGAGGCTGGTAGTGCCCAGGGGTGGGGTGATAATTATTTCTCTAGTACCTGAAGGACTCTTGTCCCAAAGGCATGAATTCCTAGCATTCCCTGTGACAAGATGACTGAAAGATGGGGGCTGGAGAGAGGGTACAAGCCCCACCTAGGGCGGAGGCCACAGCGCGGAGAGGGGCAGACAGAGCTATGAGCCTGGAAGGAAGCAGGATGGCAGCCGGAGCAGCAGTTGGAGCCTGGGTGCTGGTCCTCAGTCTGTGGGGTGAGCCACTCCCCCCAGCCCACTGACCCTTCCTGCAGAAAGCACTTGAACCCCATACCCCAATTGCCCTAGAACTTTTCCCAGAACCCAGGGAACTGCTTTTCAAGGTCCCTCACACACCCTGTCCAAATTTTGTTAGCCCTCATTACCTTCCTGCCCCTCTACCACGGTGCTGTCTCCCAGGGGCAGTAGTAGGTGCTCAAAACATCACAGCCCGGATCGGTGAGCCACTGGTGCTGAAGTGTAAGGGGGCCCCCAAGAAACCACCCCAGCAGCTGGAATGGAAACTGGTAAGTGGGGATCCTGTTGCAGCTTCCCAACTTCCAGGGAGACCAGCAATGATTCAGATCCCTGTCACTCTGCCTCACAGTACTTTCCCAAAGGCCTTGCACTGTTTAGGCCCTGCTTCTCTACTTCTAGAATACAGGCCGGACAGAAGCTTGGAAGGTCCTGTCTCCCCAGGGAGGCCCCTGGGATAGTGTGGCTCGTGTCCTTCCCAACGGCTCCCTCTTCCTTCCGGCTGTCGGGATCCAGGATGAGGGGATTTTCCGGTGCCAGGCAATGAACAGGAATGGAAAGGAGACCAAGTCCAACTACCGAGTCCGTGTCTACCGTAAGAATTCCAGGGCCTTCTCCAAGGCCCCCTCTCTTATCTCAGAAAAAGCCTTCAACCCTAGCCTTGGCCCATGACGGCCTCTGACTTCCACTGGCCCCATTTCCACACACAGAGTTTGAGAACCTTCACAATTACAGCCTCTGATTGGATTTTTCCTCCTTCAGAGATTCCTGGGAAGCCGGAAATTATAGATTCTGCCTCTGAACTCACAGCTGGTGTTCCCAATAAGGTAGTGAAAGAAAGGAGAAGTAGAAAATGGTCCTGTGAACAGGAGGCGAGTGTGTGTGGGTGTGTGGCATCTCTCATTTTCAAAGGATTCTGAGGTCACCACTCTTTCCCCAGGTGGGGACATGTGTGTCAGAGGGAAGCTACCCTGCAGGGACTCTTAGCTGGCACTTGGATGGGAAGCCGCTGGTGCCTAATGAGAAGGGTGAGTCCGAAGGTGCCCCCCAAGCTGCCTTCTCCCTGATCTCACTCCCACACCCACCCTGCGATAATTTGTCTTATCCTCCTACCATAGGAGTATCTGTGAAGGAAGAGACCAGGAGACACCCTGAGACGGGGCTCTTCACACTGCAGTCGGAGCTAATGGTGACCCCAGCCCGGGGAGGAAATCCCCATCCCACCTTCTCCTGTAGCTTCAGCCCAGGCCTTCCCCGACGCCGGGCCTTGCACACAGCCCCTATCCAGCCCCGTGTCTGGGGTGAGCAGAGGTGGGGAGGGCTCCAAGCTCATGTGAGTGCATTCTGGAAGTCAGACCCTTAGGGAAAGAGGGAGTCAAGCCCATGGCCACTGGGATCACTCACAAGTGTAACTCTCCACCTCATAACCCTTCCAACTCCCAGAGCCTGTGCCTCTGGAGGAGGTCCAATTGGTGGTAGAGCCAGAAGGTGGAGCAGTAGCTCCTGGTGGAACCGTAACCCTGACCTGTGAAGTCCCTGCCCAGCCCTCTCCTCAAATCCACTGGATGAAGGATGTGAGTGACCTGGAGAGAGGGGCTGGGAGGTAGGGTGAACCATAACTAGCAACAGGGAGGGCAGAGGGCTAACGAGGGAAAGGCAGGCTAGGAGCTGAGGAGGAAGAGGGGGTATTTGAAGATGTGGAGACAAAAAGATAAGAGTTTTGAAATAGTCTCCTCTCCCCTTCCCCCACCAGGGTGTGCCCTTACCCCTTTCCCCCAGCCCTGTGCTGATCCTCCCTGAGATAGGGCCTCAGGACCAGGGAACCTACAGGTGTGTGGCCACCCATCCCAGCCACGGGCCCCAGGAAAGCCGTGCTGTCAGCATCAGCATCATCGGTGAGACCTCTCTCCAAGCCCTACAGACCCTGGGGCTAGGGTGCAGGATAGCACAGGCTCTAATTTCCTGCCCCATTCTGGCCTTACCCCCAAGAGCCAGCCCACCTCTCCCTCCGTGCACCCACACCCAAACCTCCCCTGCCCCATCCAAATTCTGCCAAGAGAGCAGCCAAGCCTCTCCCTTCTTCCCTCTGAACTAAAAAAAGGGAAAGACGGCTGGGCACAGTGGCTCACGCCTGTAATCCCAACACTTTGGGAGGCTGAGGCCGGTGGATCACCTGAGGTTGGGAGTTCGAGACCAGTCTGACCAACATGGAGGAACCCCATTTCTACTAAAAATACAAAATTAGCCAGTTGTGGTGGCACGCGCCTGTAATCCCAGCTACTCGGGAGGCTGAGACAGGAAAATCACTTGAACCCGGGAGGCATAAGTTGCAGTGAGCCAAGATCCTGCCATTGCATGCCAGCCTGGGCAACAACAGCGAAACTCCATCTCAAAAAAAAAAAAAAAAAGAAAGGGAAAGACTCCACTGGAGCTCCCACTAAATAACCCTCTCTCAACCCAAAGTCTTCCTTTCTGACTGGATCCAACTTTGTCTTCCAGAACCAGGCGAGGAGGGGCCAACTGCAGGTGAGGGGTTCGATAAAGTCAGGGAAGCAGAAGATAGCCCCCAACACATGTGACTGCGGGGATGGTCAACAAGAAAGGAATGGTGGCCGGGCGCGGTGGCTCAAGCCTGTAATCCCAGCACTTTGGGAGGCCGAGATGGGCGGATCACGAGGTCAGGAGATCGAGACCATCCTGGCTAACACAGTGAAACCCCATCTCTACCAAAAAAAAATACAAAAAACTAGCCGGGCGACGTGGCGGGCGCCTGTAGTCCCAGCTACTCGGGAGGCTGAGGCAGGAGAATGGCGTAAACCCGGGAGGCGGAGCTTGCAGTGAGCTGAGATCCGGCCACTGCACTCCAGCCTGGGCAACAGAGCCAGACTCCATCTCAAAAAAAAAAAAAAATGAAAGGAATGGTGAGTGGTGGGGGCTGTGCTCTCAGTTTTCCCTGTCTCCCTACAGGCTCTGTGGGAGGATCAGGGCCAGGAACTCTAGCCCTGGCCCTGGGGATCCTGGGAGGCCTGGGGACAGCCGCCCTGCTCATTGGGGTCATCTTGTGGCAAAGGCGGCGACGCCAAGGAGAGGAGAGGTGAGTGGAGAAAGCCAGACTCCTCAGACCTAGGGCTTCCAGGCAGCAAGTGAAGAGGGGTGGGGGGTGGAACGACAACGTGCAGCATTCTCCACAATCTTCCTCCTCAGGAAGGCCTCAGAAAACCAGGAGGAAGAGGAGGAGCGTGCAGAGCTGAATCAGTCGGAGGAACCTGAGGCAGGCGAGAGTGGTACTGGAGGGCCTTGAGGGGCCCACAGAGAGATCCCATCCATCAGCTCCCTTTTCTGTTTCCCTTAAACTGTTCTGGCCCCAGACCAACTCTCTCCTGTATAACCCCACCTTGCCAAACTTTCTTCTACAACCAGAGCCCCCCACAATGATGAGTAAACACCTGACACATCTTGCTCTTGTGTGTCTGTGTATATGTGTGTGAGACATAACCTCACCCCTACACCCTTGAGGGCCCTGAAGGAAAGGGACTCACCCCCACACTTCCCCCACACTGCACCAAACATCTACTCAAGTTGGGGAGAAGATGCTTCTGTCAAGAGAGGGAGGGAGGGAGGGAGGAAGGTCGGGGGCAAACTTGGGAAGAGATCCCATCAATACATTTCACCTTTTTTTATTGAATTTGTATTAAAGGAGGTAGTAAGGGGGAGGAAGCACTTAAGAGTCAGAACCCATATTAGACTCTGGGGAGTGAAAAATTAAATTAAATCAATAAGATGGGAGTGGGGAAAGAGTCAGAGGGAGCTTTGCCCCCCTTTCAAGATCAAATCAAGAAATCAGGGAAAGCAAAGACTTAGAAGAGAAGACATTCTCTCAATCCATCCTCCTTCCCCAGGGCAGAGAATTATGATGTTACTGAGTGAGCCTCTGAGCAGAAGGCTCTCCCATCTATGCACAGACTTCACTCCTCCTCCCCAAGCTTTCCTGGAGAACATCCAGGGCTGGCCTTAGCCAACAGAAATAGAGAGGTCAAGGGGGTCCATGAGTAAGGAAGGGTCAGCAGGGACCCCCAATACTGATTCTCCTCTGGCTGGAGGTGGGCAGGAAGGAGACATAGCTCAAATACTGAGCAGCCAAAAAAAGAAGAAGATGGCGAGAAACAGGAAGAGGGAATCCTGCCAGCTGGAGGCCGGGTGACCCTGTCCCAGATCCACACCTGTGAGAGAGAGGAAAGCTGTGGAAGCATATGCTTCTAGGCTGGGAGGGGGCCTGAGGGGATTCATAGGGCTCCCTCATGGGAGCTGAATGTGACTCTTACCTGTACCCCGGCGGAAAGGCTCATGGGCATTGAAGACGGTGGTGAAAAAGCCAAAGGGAAAAGCACCAACACCAAATGAGAAGTGGAAGCCCCCGGTATCACCAAATGGCTGGAATGCCTAGGGAGGTAGAAAAAGTCAGATGGGAAGCCGGAAAACCTGTCAAGGAAGGGACACAACTGGACAGGAAGACTCACCCCTCTGCTCTCTGGAGCTGGTCTCTGGCCCTGGGGGCGGGGTGGAGTTTTTAATCTGAGGAAGAGGAGAGAGAAAGTTAACAGGGAATTTTCTCCTGTCATCTTCCACACCGTTTTCCAAGGGCAGAAGCCTTCAATCTTCCCTGAGCAACACCTCCAGTCTCTCACCTGGGATCCTGGGGCTTTTGGCTCCCTCGCCCATAAAGCGGGACAACCTTCTCTCTGCTGATCCCAGCTTTACATACTGGACACTCTTGCCGCTCTGGCCTTGTCTCCAGCCACTGGGGAGAAAAAAAGTGGTTTCCAGTATACAAGAGGGTCTTCCAGCTCCTCAGACCTCCCCATTTCCCTCTTCATCTCCCGAGTACGCACCTGATGAAGACATGGCCAACTGGATGGGGGAGAAAAAAAAAAAGTCAAACTAGCTACAGAAAAGAGAGACACAGACCCCCAGACTTCACAGAATCCCATCTCACTCCTCTTTCCAGGCAACCTGCTGTTGCTTTTCAGATTTTCTGCAACCTCTACCATGCCAGCCAACTTGGCCTTCCTGCTTGTCTGATCTTCCAACATCTAAAGCTCTGTCCATCCTCAACACACTCAACCCTCTCCTCTCCCCAACAAACACGTACAAATTTTCGTGCCCTCTCTTTTCTGCCTTTCAAGTTAATTTCTAATTCCCTTTAGCCACCTCTTTCCGGGTTTCCGCTTTTCAACCCCAACCCCGCTTTTCAACCCCAACCCCATCACTCCAAACCAAACCCCTTTACTAGCACATTCTCCCATTACTCCTTTTCCTCACTTTCAAGCTCAATAATGTCCCTGTCTTTACGACCCTTTAACCTTTCAAATCTGCCTCTCCACAGTGCCTTCGTACCAGCCCCCTCCCAGAGCTCATCTGAATGTGATCCATATTTCCTGGTTCTCCCCGATTCAATTGATGCGTGCCTCCCCTTAACCTTTGTGTCTCATCTGTTTCCACCTGCACAGCTAAGACCCCTCGCTTCTCTGGGGTAAGGTGGCTCGGGTCTCACATTGTCCCGCCACTCCCCGCCCCACCTCCTCTTCTCAGCACATCACATGCCCCCGCTCCTGGTTCCTAAGACCTTTCTTTCCACAGATCTCGACCGTAGAGACATTATACTCCCACCCACACATACCAGCAAAGTCGTATGTCTCCTGTCGGGCCTCACCTATGGGAACGTGCCCTCCGATTATCTGTATGACTGTATGATTATTCGCTCCTAGCCTCCCCAGTATATAAGCGAGACCCACCGCCTTCCGCCCCTCTCCTCGATTCTCACCAGTACAGGTGGCCACACACACTGACCACAGCTTCCCGAGCAGTCTCCAAACATATATTACATTCGAAGGTCGCGCCCGCCCCGCCCCGCTCGCGATTTGGCCCTTCGGGGCCCCCGTCCTCCTCCTCCGCTGCTGCCATGGTCGGTTTTGTTTCGCCCCACGTACCCTTCAGTCCCCCCAAATACACATACACACGCCCCAACAAACCAGAAACCACCTCCTGCCCAGGATCGTTGGGCAGGCGTGAAGGTTTCCTAATCACTATTGGTCTGAATGCCTGCCAATCACAAAGAATTCAAAAGAAAAGATTGGCCCAAAGGGTAGGGGCGGGAAAAGGTTAGTGTGGTCCTGCCTTCGCACAATGTCTATTGGCTGATACGGTCTAAGTCAATGTGCAATGCCAAGGGATTGGTAATAACTCGCTACACCCTGTCGCCTGGCCGCGGAGGGCTTTATTCGTCTGAGTAGTTGTCAGTCATAACCAAAGCCAGAAGCAATTTGCTCGGGACTACCTATAGACCTCGCCCACTATAAGCCCCTTTCTTTCCTTCGCTTCCTCTTTCTGAGAATGTCCGGATTGCTATTGGACTTTGGAGCGTATGGCTCCAAACCAACTCATTGGCTAGAACTTGACGAAAAATGGTGGTTAGGTAAAACGCGCCTGCGCAGCACGCGGCGGGACGGGGGTGGGCCAATCGCGTGAGGGTTGAACCTTATCTTGTTCCACCTCTTCACCCCTATCTTGTCGCTATGGTGACTGCTCTACAATTGGCGAGGCTTGCACTTCAAAGTCCTCGGCTCGCTTCATCCGGGTCCTTCAGCTGTGGACTTTCTGCTGATTGGGCCTTTTCCTTTTCCCCTGATTGGCCGACATCGGGAAAGACGGCGAAGAGCTAGGGAAAGAGGGAAAACACTAGGGTCGCAGGGTTCAAAATGGCTCCAACCTCCTTTGGTGGCGTAGAGAGCAGAACTTGGGTCTGCCCCTCACATTTAGTTAAGGGAGCAGAACTGGGATTAGCCCGACGTTTGGATAGTACGAACATCGATCTGCGGAGCTGGTGTTAACTCATTCGGCTGGACGACTCAGCCCTCCCCACTTTAGGTGATTTACAGAGCAAAACTGAACTAAAGGCCCACTCCTTTCTTAATGTTGTACACAGAGTAGAACAGGATTGACTTAAACTCCGTTTTAAACCTTCAGAGCAGAAAAGCTCTGGGCTCACCCTCTTTGTGACTGGTGCAGAAGGGGCACGGCCCGCCCCTTTTAAGGAGACCCGCGGGGGGTCTCCTTAAGACCCGCCCTTTCCTCCTTATAATTTGCCCATCAGAAATAGGGTCTTCTTCCAGGGTTGGACCCCGGAGAGTTTGGGCCTTTCCTACAATCACTGACCCTCACTGTGACCAAAGGAGCAGAACTAGGTAACAGTCTTCCCACTACCAATCCTCTTCCCGAGGGCATGTAAACTCATGCAGGGTAAAGGTGTGGCTAGAGGCGGGACCTTGATAAAAGATCCCATGTGACTCAAAAGTAAGGAAAGATTATAAGTTAGCAGTTGCGTAAAGAAGGACTGGGGCAGATGAGGATTCAGGAAACTGGAGGTTTAAGATATTGAGAGGGAAAGGTGGAAATGAAGGAGAGTGAAGTGATGGAATGATCCTAGTAAAGTGATAATGGGAGTGGAGGAAGAGAAGAGGGGGTGGAAAACTAGATACATGGCTACCAAATTAAGGAGGCATCCTCATCCAGAGGAATCGGCATTCTTCCTCACTTTGTCTTTTTCTAGAAAGCACTCCTGACGCCCAATTTCCATTGGAAGAAAAGATGTACCCATATTGTATGTTGTGAGAAGGGGTTGTCTCAGCTTGGGGAAGTAAGGAGACTGATAGGAAGGAAGTAGGAAAGAAAAAGTACAGAAGGAAAAGAGCATGGAAAGGAAAGGGTCAGGAATGAGGCCAAAGAGATTTCTTTAAAGGTCAGAGAAGGCAGGTGGAGGGGGGAGCTGGACAGCTGGGAGATAGTGAGGGACAAAGGGCAAAGGAAACCAGACCAGAGGACTGGAGAGTGAGATGAGGTGAGATGGAGTCCTGGAGAGAAAAAGAAGAGAGGTGAACTTAATGCTTGTCATATGGTAGGTAGGTGTTTGATAAATGCTTAGAATTGAAAGGGGAACGGGAAGAGGGGTCCTTAAGAATAGTTGCGGGGAATAAGCAGCAGATAACCGGAGTTGAGAAAAAAAGAGACCAAGTAAAAGTGGCAGTTAAAAGAGAGCTGATGGAGAATAAAAGAAGGAATGTGCCGAAGGAGAAATACAGCACCAGGGGATCCAGAACCCAAAGGGAGTTAGAGAATAAAAAGATGCAGCTGGAGCCAGAGATGGGAGCAAAGGCAGAGGGAGGGCCCGCCTGAGCCCTCCTGGGGCGGGGCTCCCAAGAGTACACTGGTAGACGTGGGGAGGAGATGCCTGAGCTTCTGGGAGACGATTGGCAAAACAGGCTGCCCATCACCGCCCTCCACTTCCTGGCCGGCCCCGGAAACCAGCAGGCGTTGGGGAGGGGTGGGGGGGGAATAGCGGCAGCAGAAGCCCCAGCCCTCAGAAAGACAGCAGAAAGGGAGGGAGGGAGGGAGGGTGCTGGGGGGACAACCCCCCACCATTCCTACCGCTATGGGCCCAACCTCCCACTCCCACCTCCCCTCCATCGGCCGGGGCTAGGACACCCCCAAATCCCGTCGCCCCCTTGGCACCGACACCCCGACAGAGGCAGAGACACAGCCATCCGCCACCACCGCTGCCGCAGCCTGGCTGGGGAGGGGGCCAGCCCCCCAGGCCCCCCACCCCACTGAGGTGTGGGCGGGAAAGGGATGGGAGGAGGAGGGAAGAGGGTGCTGAAAGCGACTAGGATGAGGGGAAGGGGAGAGACTGGGTCTGGGAGGGCCGACTGGGGGAGATGGTTGCTGGGGAAAGGAGAGGGGCTGACTGGGAAGAGGGTTGCTGGGGATAGGAGAGGGGACCTGAGAGGGAGGAAGGATGGAAGAGACACGGGAGGGGGAGAAATGGAAACCCTTGTGAATTTGGGACTGGGAGTGTGCACAGGGAATCCTGGAGAGGGAATTCCCTACACCTTCCCCAATTCCTTTTCTTGCCCTTTGACCCCACATGACTCTTGCGGGGGTCATGAGGGGAGAAGGCCAGCAGAATTTGCCTCTTAGGAATATACCCTTAGGCCCCTCTGTTTCCATCTAGGCACAGGACCTCTTGTTTCTCAGTGGCCTTCCACACTGCTGGACCCTTACACACAAATGCCTTATGGGAGCCATGTTTTCTACATTGAGTCTGTGTGCCTTTGACATGTTTAATGGCTTGTGTGCAACTAGGTTGTCCCAAAGCTCTCCATAGGCTGTGTAGAAATGGTGTGTTATTTTCCATCAGAATTGCCCATTCTCCGTTCTTGTGTCCACGTCTCACGTCCAGTTTTGACATGTTCAAGTACCGCATGTGTGTGAGTTTTCATATATTGCACCTGTTTTATAGTTTCCTGTTACTTGCACGTTTTATGTTTTGGCATGTTTATTTCAGCATGTGAAGGTTATATACCTTATTTTACTTTGGCTGACATTCTGTGGTCCTACCATTTGCAGTAGTCTTCATGTGTGGGATCCCATGGCTTGGCTGAATAGCCTACACACTCATGTCTGACTCAGTTGGCCCGTTTGCTGTGTTTTCCCAGTCACAGTTCACAGAACACATGTGTATGCCCCTTTGCACGATACACTGATGTAACAGGACCATAGAATGTGTGTTATAAATTTATCATCAGTGTATTTTATGAACCATATGCTTATTAAATTTGGCCCTCCATTGCATTTCTAAATCCTTGGACTTTTGTTGTCTGAAGAGGGTCACTTAATATCAAGTGTTAGAGAAGAAGGTAACTGGGTCTCCAGGTCTGCAAAGAACCATCCCTGCATGCCTTACCTTGGTGACCTCCCTGGCCCATACCTCTCTACACAAACATTATCTTTCCAGTGACTGTGTACAGTCTGTGTCCATGAGATCAATGCATGTCACAGGGTCAATCCTGCTGTGAACCCCATCGTTGGTATTTATGGACATTATCTTCCATTCTTTTCACTGTTGGCACACATTTGATGAGAGCAGCATCTTTCCCTGTGGCATGTTAATCCCATTCTGTGCATTTCTCTTGTGACATGACCTCTTCTTAATTATTGTTACTCTGCCTTCATTATGGCCATGTATTGCATGTATCTATTCAGAGTCGGTTACCATCAGGCTTCATGTGTTTGTTACTTTCTCAGTGACTTTTCTTTTAGTAGTCAGTACTACTCAAGAGGGTAACTATCTAATTTGTGATCAGAACCGCCATCTCTGTCATTAGTTGTGGCTCTGTGGGTGTGTATACAGCCTTAGAATCTGTTCAGCAAGTGTTTGTTGAGCACCTAGTCCATCTCCTATTGTCCTGGTAGTGGAGATAAGACAGAGTCCCTGTCCTTAAGCTGCTTACAGCCTAAGGAGGGAAACAAAAATGCCAGTCAACACATAGTGTGTTGTCAAGATCAGTGGTTCTTAAATTCAAGCGCACATCAGACTCACCAGAGGGCTTGTTAAAATACAGATTGCTAACCAGCCACGATGGCTCACACCTGTAATCCCAACAGTTTGGAAGGCTGAGGCAGGAGGATCACCTGAGGCCAGAAGTTCAAAACCAGCCTGAGTGAGAAAAAGAAAAATAGGTTGCTGGACCTAATGCCCAGAATTTCTGATTCAGTAGATCTGGGGTGAAGTCTAATAATTTGTGTTTCTACACTTCAAGACCCACTGGTCAAGATAAAAGTGTAATGAAAGCACAGGCCTGGAGGGGTTCGGGCAGCCCTCCGAAAGGTGACACTGAGCTGTGTGAGGCAGGAAAAGATCCGGGCATTCCAGCCAAAGGGAACAGCATGTTCAAGGTGCGGAAGCATGAAAGATCATGGTGTCTGAGGAACTGAAGTGAATCAGTTTGACTGGAACAAAAAGAGTTTTGTGAGGATGTGGTTGAAGATGTAAGCAGAAGTCAACTTGTCAAGAAGAACCTTTAGGCAAGACAGGGAAATGCTCTGCGTTTCAGAAAAATTTGTATTAACAGAAAAATCTCTGTTGCTACGTGGAAGATGGATTGGAGGGGGTTAGGAGCCTACTCCACGTAGTTCAGGGGAGAAATGATGCTGTTCTGAACTTGTAGGGGCAGTGGGATGGAGCAGCTCAGAAAGCCTACAGTATTCCAACTGACAGGGTCTCCTGTTTCCTCTATTGCCTGTTACCTTCTCGCTTGGCAATAGGCTTACCTTTGAGCATAGCCCCTCCCGTCATGGGAAGACAGTGCCTGTGGCCTCAGTAGGAATGACAGGTATTTGCCTGTACACCCTTTTTGTGAATTGTTACCCTGCCCCCAACAGTGGGGCAGAGTGGAGGAAGGAGGAAGAACCTAGAACACAGGTTCTGTGTTCCTGCCCCGCTTCCTCTTGAGCCCTTTCCTCTCCCAGGGCAAGTGCTGTTATGTCCCCTTTACTCCCTGCCCTCCATTTTTCACTTGGTGAGGCCTTACACACTGTACCTGCCCACGCAAAGTGTCACTAGAAGGAAGGGAAAGGGTGGTTGGATTCATTTGCCTGTGTGGAGGTAGGATTGGTCTTTGTAACTATTCCAGGTATGTCCATAAGTCTACCTAGGAATGGGGGAGCTGCCTGGGTGGAGAGGGATTTTTCTAGTTACTAGTTACGCATTCACATTATTTTATCTGTCACTGGGTGTAATTATAAATTTGTGTCTGTGTGTGAACATGTTAGTCTTTGTATGACTGTGTGTTGGCATTAGTGACATGAACTTTTAATCTTGCCATTTGGCCCCTGGGTATATGGCTGTGGGTGTTCTGTCACAGTCACCATATATGCTGTGTGCTGTGTTCGTATATGTATATGCAGTACATACCAGTGTCAGCATAACCGAGTGGTTAGGAACACAGGCGGCTTAGATTTAACTCAGGAGCTGTATGATCTCAGGTAAGTTATTTAGCCTCTCTGGGCCTATTTCCTATAAAATGTAAATAATAGTACTTTCTAGACTATTGTATGGATCATTTTAAGAGTTTAACTTAATGTATAGACCAGTGCTGTTCTACAGAAATATAATGCAAGCCACATATATAATTTTTTTATGGTAGCCACATTTTTACAAGGCAAAAAGTGAAATTAATTTTAGTAATATATTTTCTTGAATCTGATACATCTAAAAGATTATAATTTCTTTTCTCTCTCTCTTTTTTTTTTTTTTTTTTTTTTTTTTAAGACAGATTTTTTTTTTTTTCTGCAGTGGGGTGGTGGGATGTGGGCTCACCGCAACCTCCACCTCCTGGGTTCAAGCAATTCTCCTGCCTCAGCCTCCCAAGTAGCTGGGATTACAGGCATGTGCCAACAGGCCCGGCTAATTTTTGTATTTTTAGTAGAGATGGGGTTTCACCATGTTGTTCAGGCTGGTCCTGAACTCCTGACCTTGTGATCCACCTGCCTCAGCCTCCCAAAGTGCTGGGATTACAGGCGTGAGCCACCGCGCCTGTCCCAAGATTATAATTTCAAAATGTAGTCAGTATAAAAGATTAATAATGGGATATGTTACATTTTGTTTTTTATTCAGTCTTTGAAATATGATGTGTATTTTACATTTCCAGCACACCTCAGTTCAGACTAGCAGCATTTCAAGTGCTTAGTAGCCACATGTAGGTGGTGGCTACTTTCTTGGACGGCACAAGTATAGACCATTATAAGACCCTTACCAGCTACAAGTGTTACCATCATTCTTATTGTCATTTATTGTCAGGTATCTGTGAGTTGTAGATGTCCATGTCTTGTGTCTCTTGTCTGAATATATCTGGAGCCTTCGGGAAGAGGAATGGGAGAGCAGTCTTGAGCTCTATCTCCACCACCCTCATCCTAGAGAGGCTTCCTGGGAAGGTTTCAATGGGAACCCTGCCCCAGCTTGTTTCTCTGGCCCTTGTCCTCATAGCACCAGTCCCCAACCCTGCCTTCTGTGCCTTGCCTACCCCACAGCCCTCCAGAAACCAGGCTGATTGTCCCTTGCCCCATCCCCTGCAGGTGGCCAGAATGGAGTTGTGGCCAGGGACATGGATGCTGCTACTGCTGCTCTTCCTGCTGCTGCTCTTCCTGCTGCCCACCCTGTGGTTCTGCAGCCCCAGTGCCAAGTACTTCTTCAAGATGGCCTTCTACAATGGCTGGATCCTCTTCCTGGCTGTGCTCGCCATCCCTGTGTGTGCCGTGCGAGGACGCAATGTTGAGAACATGAAGTGAGGGGCAAGGGGTCTTGGGCAATGAGGGAACCTAAGGGTACAAAGCGAGTAGTGGATTGGGGGAAGGGGGCATGGTGTGTGTAGAAAAGACTGAGAGAGACCAGAGACAGGGAATGGGGAGAGGACTGCAAAGGTGGTCAGAAAGACAGTAGGGTTGGGGGGAGCTGAGGCATGCAGATGGACATCAATGGATCCCACTGGGACCCCTTGCCGTGACCCCACAGGATCTTGCGTCTAATGCTGCTCCACATCAAATACCTGTACGGGATCCGAGTGGAGGTGCGAGGGGCTCACCACTTCCCTCCCTCACAGCCCTATGTTGTTGTCTCCAACCACCAGAGCTCCCTCGATCTGCTTGGTGAGACCCCACCACAGGGCACACCTCCCCCAGTCATGCCTCCCCTCCTGGAACCTTCCCTAGAATATCTTCTCCTTGAGATCCTTAATTCTCCTTCCTCTGGGACATTGTTCCCCTTGTCTCCCGCTCAGGCCTTCATTCCCTGGGTAGAACTGCCCTCATAAGCAGGGTACATACACCTTTGGTCACCCTTTCCTTCACTTGGGGCTCCCCCTGCCTAGTCTCCTCCTTCACCTCCAGTCCCTACCAGAGTGGGTGATGATCTGGGTGAGGTGGGTTGCTTTCTGTGACACTCTGCCTCCACCCCAATCCTCACCCACCCCCACCCTGCCCAAGGGATGATGGAAGTGCTGCCAGGCCGCTGTGTGCCCATTGCCAAGCGTGAGCTACTGTGGGCTGGCTCTGCCGGGCTGGCCTGCTGGCTGGCAGGAGTCATCTTCATCGACCGGAAGCGCACGGGGGATGCCATCAGTGTCATGTCTGAGGTCGCCCAGACCCTGCTCACCCAGGACGTGAGTCATCCTGGGGAAATGGGGGATTGGAGGGATAGAAAGTAGAACAGTTGTAAATAAACTGATAGGCAGGGCCAATGGCCCTCAGAGGTCCCATTATAACATCACACCTACTCTGACTCCTCCATATGTGTTTGTCTTCCTTGACCTTCTTTCTCCCCCAGGTGAGGGTCTGGGTGTTTCCTGAGGGAACGAGAAACCACAACGGCTCCATGCTGCCCTTCAAACGTGGCGCCTTCCATCTTGCAGTGCAGGCCCAGGTGACTACTGCTCCCTGTTCTGCTACTCAGCTGCCCACCGCCACCATTCCCTCATCTCTGGGCAGGGGCTTATTGTAGGAGTCTCAGAAGAGAGCTGTGGACTGACTTGCTTTACCCCTTCCCCAGGTTCCCATTGTCCCCATAGTCATGTCCTCCTACCAAGACTTCTACTGCAAGAAGGAGCGCCGCTTCACCTCGGGTGAGGGCTTTGAGCAGTTCTGGGGTCGGGTGTGTCCAGAGAGGCTGGGAGGACATCCCTGTGAGGCAGGGGGATCATTCAGTGTCAGAGCCATGAGATGTCCACACGGTCATCTAGTTTAACCCACAGCAGCCAATAAGTCTTTACCAGGCACCACCATACCCTGCCAGGTGGGTAGCACTTGGTCCCACCAAGAGAGGCTGTTACTAATCTAGCAGGAAAGATAAGGCCTGTGTGCACAAAGCTGTAATGAATAACACTCATTCAGCAGTAAATGCCAAACCCAGAGGAGGGGGGCTGGAGGAGTGCTGAGGAGATGTCTGGACTGGGAATTGGAGAAGGCTTTGTATAGAAGGGCCTCAGAAGTGGCAGCTGGCAAGCCCAGGGATGGTTGTCCAGGGTGTGGGGAAGAGAACTGAAAGGTTGAGGAAGAGTATGCCTCAGAAGCTCGGCCCCCCTGTGGGCAAAGACCTGGGTGGACAGGCCATGATGGTGCTCCCCTTGCCCCAGGACAATGTCAGGTGCGGGTGCTGCCCCCAGTGCCCACAGAAGGGCTGACACCAGATGACGTCCCAGCTCTGGCTGACAGAGTCCGGCACTCCATGCTCACTGTTTTCCGGGAAATCTCCACCGATGGCCGGGGTGGTGGTGACTATCTGAAGAAGCCTGGCGGGGGTGGGTGAACCCTGGCTCTGAGCTCTCCTCCCATCTGTCCCCACCTTCTTCCCCACACCTACCCACCCAGTGGGCCCTGAAGCAGGGCCAAACCTTCTTCCCTGTCTCCCCTCTCCCCACTTATTCTTCTCTTTGGAATCTTCAACTTCTGAAGTGAATGTGGATACAGCGCCACTCCTGCCCCCTCTTGGCCCCATCCATGGACTCCTGCCTCCATGCAGTCTCCACTCTTGACCCCCACCTCCTACTGTCTTGTCTGTGGGACAGTTGCCTCCCCCTCATCTCCAGTGACTCAGCCTATACAAGGGTGGGGAACATTCCATCCCCAGTGGAGTCTCTTCCTGTGTGGTCTTCTCTCCCCCTCTACTCCACATTGGCCAGTGGACTCATCCATTCTGTGGAACAATTCTCCCCCACCCCAAAGTCCATGGATTCAATGGACTTATCCATGTGAGGAGGACTTCTCGCCCTGTGGCTGGAAGCTGATACCTGGAGCAGTCCTCCCAGGCTCATCCTGGGAGCTTTCCTCAGCACCTTCACCTTCCCTCCCAGTGTAGCCTCCCATCAGTGGGGGCTGGACCCTTCTAATTCAGAGGTCTCACGCCTGCCCTTGCCCAGATGCCCAGGGTTGTGTACTCTCTGGGATACCAGTTCAGTCTCCACATTTCTGGTTTTCTTTGTCCCCATGGTACAGTTCTTCAGTGGACCTGACCCCACTCAGCCCCCTGCAGCCCTGCTGCACCATTTCACCAGACACAAGGGGAAGAAGCAGACATCAGGTGCTGCGCTCACTTCTGCCCCCTGGGGAGTTGGGGAAAGGAACAAAACCCTGGCTGGAGGGGATCGGAGGGCTTTTAATTTATTTCTTTTTCTGTTGAGGCTTCCCCCTCTCTGAGCCAGTTTTCATTTCTTCTCGGTGGCATTAGCCATTCCCTGCCTCTCGCTCCAGACCTGTTCCCACAACTGGGGAGGTAGGCTGGGAGCAAAAGGAGAGGGTGGGACCCAGTTTTGCGTGGTTGGTTTTTATTAATTATCTGGATAACAGCAAAAAAACTGAAAATAAAGAGAGAGAAAGATCTGGGTGCTTGGTGGTTGCATTTGTTAAGGAATCGAAGAAGCAGTTCTTGCCCAGGCAACCTGCCCCGAGCCAGAAGACTCAGGGGTGGGCCCAGAACACAGGCCTCCCCCTTTCTTCAGCTCTCTGAAGTTTCCATTGTTCATTGCTCTTTGGTGGTTGATAGCCTTATCTGCAGCTCACAGTCGGTCAATCCCAGAGGATTAGTGGGTCTGGCTTCTGTATAAATTAGGGGTGCTGTAGAGGCTTCTTATCGATGACTGAGGCCAGGGCCCAGGCTGTTGTCCTCACAGGAGCCTGGTTAATGACATGGCAGACAGTGGCTGTGGTCAGCCTGGAGTGGACTACACTGCCACTCCCACCAAACAGTAAGTGAAACTATTGGGCTGGGGACAGGATTTCAGAAGAGAACGATGGTGAAGTGGAGAAGCATGAGGACAGTGAATGTTGGAGAGGGGCTTGGAGAAAAGAGGACGTGCTTGAATGGGGAGGGGTCTTGGGGAATAGAAGTCAAGGCTGGAGGAGCGAGAGGACTCACAGGCACCTAGCCTCTCCTCCAGCAGCAGCACCTGGTCGCTGAGAGATTCGATCCGGTCACCCCGGCCCCACAGCTCAGCCACCTGTTCTGGCTGCAGCTCTTCAGGCGGCATAGGCAGCACCGCTCGGACCCAGGCCCCAGCCTGACTGGCCCACTACAAAGGAAGAGATGCCTCAGGGTATTGATAGTGACGTCTGGCCTCGCCCCACCCAGCAGGCTTATCTTACCTGCTCCAGCCGCTCCAGGCGCCCTCGCAGCTCGCGAATCTCCCGCTTCAGAGCGCGCTCGTCTTTTTCCGCCTCCCGAACTAGGGACAAAGAAGACCAAGAACATAACCACTGCCCAAGCCTGGACGCCTGTCCCGGGTTCCCCCGGTGGCCTGTATTCCTGCCCGCTCACCGGCCACGCTGAGTATGCTGGCACTGGTTGGGGGTTCTGGGGACCCCTCCGTGCAGGTGCGCCCGTCCAGGCCTAGCACTAGGTCGTGGGGGCAGCCGCAGGTGAAGCTGCCTGCGGTGTTAAGACAACGGTGCGAGCAGAGGGTGATGCCGGTCCTACATTCATCCACGTCTAGTTACCGAAAAGAGGAAGGGGCTGAGAGAGGGGGCGGGGGAAAGCGCCAGGGTAGGTGGGGAGGACAAGCTGACTCACCCACATGACAGTGCTTCCCTCCCCAGCCGGGGGCGCACTCGCACTGGTCAGGCCTAACGCAGACGCCTCCGTTCTGGCAAGGCTTGGCGCAGATGGCTGCAGACAGAGAAGTGGGGTTCAGTCTCTAACCGATGACCCAGCTCCCCAGCTCCGTGGGGCGCGCCTCCCCGCAAGGCCTGGAAGACTCAGCCTCACCTTCACAGGTGAGTGCCCCTGGGTGCCGCTTCTTCCAGCCCTGGCAGCACACTGCATGGGTCTGCTGCACCTCCCGCCTCACCTCCCGCCACGTAACGCGGTACGTGGTCCTGGAACACAGCGCCTGGCTCAGGACCCTAAGTACGGGTCCTGGTCGGGGTTCTTGGGGTCCCATCTCCCCATCCCTCACCTGTAAGTGCTGCAGATGCGCTTCCCAGCGCACAAGGTCAGGTAGGGCTTGTACACTGGTTGGCTGTAGGACTCGTTATAGCGGAGCGGGACCACCAGTGTCTGCTTGGAGCAGACTCCCTGACTGCGTCCATGCCAGAGGAGGAGGTGGGAGAGATTGAGTAGGCCAGGCCCTGGGGAGCCAGGAGTCCCACTTCCCTCAAGAGGCTACTGAGGCCCCGCTCCCCCTCCAGATGACAGCCTCTCACCCCCATTCTAAACTTTCAGTTAAGTTTTGCCTCCTGTCAAGCCCCATCCCCAACAGAAGGCTCCCGAGAAGAGCTCACCCGGGTCCCACCCCCTCTGTTGTCACCTCTCTCTGAGGAATCCACCCTTTGCCCCCTCGCCTGATATCAGTAGCAGGAGGAAGGAGAATCCGCCTAAGAGAGTCCACAGCTCAGCCCTGGACCCCATGATTCTCTTTGACGCTGGACCCTACAGGCTGCAGGCAAGAAAAGGTTAATGGATGTCCGTCCTCTCTCCTATTTTCTCCAGCACTAGTCCCTCCAAGGGCACTCTGCAGGTGCCCTCTAAGGGAGTCAGGACATTCACTGTTACATATTAGCCACCAGAATTGCCTACACCTGTGTGTACAACCCAGCGCTATCCTATCCTTAGCATATCATGATCCATTCAGCATCACAAAAGCTCACATCCCAGCACACTCCCTCCACCTCCCCTCTAACCTACTTCTCATCTCCTCTGCACAACCTGGAGGGACACACCGTCAGCCCTCCCCTTATGACCCTCCTTTTTTTTTTTTTTTTTTTGAGAAGTTTCACTCTTATTGCCCAGGCTGGAGTGCAATGGCACGATCTCGGCTCACCGCAACCTCTGCCTCCCAGGTTCAAGTGATTCACCTGCCTCAGCCTCCCAAGTATCTGGGTTTACAGGCATGCACCACCACGCCTGGCTAATTTTTTGTTTTGTTTTTGTTTTGTTTTGTTTTTTGAGACAGGCCTTGCTCTGTCGCCCAGGCTGGAGGGCAGTGGCATGATCTAGGCTCACTGCAAGCTCCGCCTCCCGCGTTTATGCCACTCTCCTGCCTCAGCCTCCCGAGTAGCTGGGACTACAGGTGCCTGCCACCGCGCCCAGCTTTTTTTATTATTATTATTTTTAGTAGAGACAGGGTTTCACCATGTTAGCCAGGATGGTTTCAATCTCCTGACCTTGTGATCCACCCACCTCAGCCTCCCAAAGTGCTGGGATTACAGGCGTGAGCCATCATGCCCGGCCTGTTTTATTTTGTGTTTTGTTGTTGTTGTTGTTGTTTTCTTTAGTACAGACAGGGTTTCTCCATGTTGGTCATGCTGGTCTTGAACTCCCAACCTCAGGTGATCTGCCCGCCTCAGCCTCCCAAAGTGCTGGGATTACAGGTGTGAGCCACCATGCACAGCCAACCCTTCTGTCTTTAACATGCCCTCTTATAACTTCATACCTTCAAAACCCTCACTGACCGGGCATGGTGGCTCATTCCTGTAATCCCAGCACTTTGGGAGGCGGAGACGGGTGGATCACAAGGTCAGGAGTTCGAGATCAGCCTGGCCAAAATGGTGAAACCCCATCTCTACTAAAAATACAAAAAATTAGCTGGGCGTGGTGTTGGGTGCCTGTAATCCCAGCTACTTGGGAGGCTGAGGCAGGAGAATCACTTGAACCGGGGAGGCAGAGGTTGCAGTGAACCAAGATCGTGCCACTGCACTCTAGCCTGGGTGACAGAGCAAAACTCTGTCTCAAAAAAAAAAAAAAAAACCCTAGCTATATACCCTCACACCATACACATAAACCAAGCACCTGGAAACTCCACACCTTTCACACACTGCTACTCCCCTCACACACCCACACCATCACATACACCCTAAATGCACATCCCTTGCTCCAACAAAACACCCCTCAACTCACGCCCACCCTAAGTCTCTGAGTAAACCCCACTCTCCCCATTGAAATTCTCTCCCCACCTGCCTTCCTCGCTCTCTCCATTCCCACCTGGCTTCTCCTTTCTCCTGGGAGGCTTCAGGCAGACCAGCCTCAGCAGAAGCAGCTCAGACTGGTGGGTGGGCCTGGCAGGCTAAGAAGGAGAGGAGGGGCTGGGCCAGAGAGTCCTCCCATTCCTGCCCCCTCCCACAAGCCTCCTCCTTAGCTCCAGCAGGGTCAGCTCAGTAGGGTCAAGTCCCACCACCCTCATCCCTGCCCCAGCAAAGGGCTCCCTAGAAGTATCTTTCCAACCCTCTGAGGCCCCTATTTCTGGACTCCCCAAATCAGAAGCTACGAGCTCTGTAACACCACCAGTACCCCCTTCAACCCGACACAGACTAGGGGAGAGTTATGGGGCAGAGAAACAGCTGCAGGGAACAAAGCAGGTCAGGTTATGGGAGAAAAAGCAAGATCAGCTGAGGAAAGCTAGAAGGGCAAGTCGTCACAAAGGGGCAGGGGGGCAGCCCAGGGCACCAAGGGGAAAACTGCCCCCCTCTCTTGAGGACATTTGTTAGGGCTTAGGGGGAGCAGAATTGAGTCAGCCACCACCTCCCATGCCAGAGCAGACAGGGCCCTATTGTCTCAGCCAAAAAATTCCTTCTTTCAAGGAAGAGGAGGCTCATTGTCCAGCCCTACACCCAGCTCTGGCCCACAAAGCTCAAAAGGGGCACAAAAAATGCCCACCCTGACCCTCTGCCCCCTCGTCTAGCCTGGGGGTGGCAGGCGCATTCCACCCATGGGGCTGAGGCCAAACCACTGGAGCCCTGAGCTTAACCCCCCAGTCTTGGGGACTGGGAGAGGAAAAGAATTGTCTTCAGCAGGAAAGAACCCACAGAGAATCAGGAACCCACAAAGAATGGGCATTGAGAGAGAGCGGAAAAACCAAGGGGGTCCCCACCCTAGACCAGGCATCTGGGCACCCAGGCCTCAGGCTCCGTCCCCACCCTCCTTGCGGAGCCAGGTCCCCTCCACCTGGAAATGAGCCACGTCACACTGAGGAAATGGAACTTTATTTCCATAAATACAGGGGTTACACCCATTCAAGGGTAGTTAAAAGAGGGCCTGGGGCCTCAAAGAAACTGGGCTCTCCCAGGGGGGTACTCCAACACTGATCATAGGGACTGGGGGATCCCCAAACCTGAGATGGGCCTCATAGGCCACAGATATTCCCCAACACTGACACTTCAAAAATGGAACTGTCCCCATAGGGGAGCCTCAGAACCCCACTCTCATGGGTAGTCTCTCTTAGGGGTCAGGAGGGCTGATGACAGGGGACTTCAGAGAAAAAAGGGAACATGGGGAGAAGAGAAGCTAAAAATGTCCTGAGTGGCCTGGAAGGAGACCCCTGTGGTGGGCAGGGGGTGGGTTCTCCTCCCATACAGCCAGATACGGAGGAGCAGCAGCAGCAAAAGCAG